CGTACTAAACCTACCAAATTTACCATGAAAGTCATGTTTTAACTTTGTGTTCTGTTTGAATTTCGCTTTGATGAAATATTTTCGGGGTTTTTAACACGCTTCTTTGTAAAAAAAAAAAACAAACAAAAAATGAAGAAGATTTTTTTTTCTCACAGAGCTTTAGTTTTGTATTTTACAGTGAAGTTTCTAATGCTGCTTTATAAATCCTAAAACTTCCACTAACAAACAAAAGATAACACTGTGATTGCTTAGATGAAATTAAAACATCTGTAAGAACGAATATGAATGATGACAGGCAATATCACTTTTGCATCTCTACCAAAATAATGGGATTAACATCAACTTTGACAGTTTTACTTGAGACACGGGGATTAGTAATACTATGTTTTTATGTTCTTTTGCTTGGAAACTCTGATTATGCAGTTGGAAGTTACATGTTTAATCAAAACCCGTGAAACAACAAAATAGATAAAAACTGGGTTTTCGTCATTGGCAATGGCTTTATAGTAGTGTCAATAATATAATTTAATATGCACATCCCATATCCTAGATCTAGACCTGAGTTAAATATGTAAACATATAAGAATACCTGATTTTATTCTAAATTTCACTTATTTGTATGAAAAAAGTAGTTAACATTGACCTTTTACACTTAAAAAAAAATCACTATCGCATGTAAAATATAAATTATTATTATCCTAGCCCATATTTGAAACAATGCGTTTTTATTTTTAAACATAGCTTTGTAAATAAGCTGGTAAATTTTATACCGTCGTGTTCAGTTGTAACACGTAACCTCCACATTTTTAACATTTTAACATATACATTTTTAACGTAGGTTGAACTGTGAATTTTGAGCAATGTTTAATTAATGCTACAACATATACTTTGTAGCAAGTTGTTTGTCACAAAATACTACCATTAGTAATTTTTAGTGGAACTATTTATTGTTTAATTGCATAATAAAACTTATTTAGTGTTACAAGAAACATGTTAGAAAGATGACAGAAACAGGTTAAAAATAGAAAAACTAAATTATTAAAATTTGCACGTGATTTGACAATTCTAAAATACAGGTTAGTGGGTAATCATGGATCTAGATAGTACTTTTGTAATATAGTAGAAATTTGATATGAAATTATGTCAAATATTATAATCCACTTGTTAATTGTTTATTTAGAAACTTTAATAAAGAGATGTCCATACTGTAAAGGATATGTTTAAGGATAGTATGGCTTTTCTTTAAATACACAAATGATAAAAATCGGAAAAACTTCATGTAATTGATTAAGGTTTAACCCGAGGGAAAATCTCATAATTATACAACAACGAAGTTTTCACTGTGGTGAGATTTTTACATTCTACACAGAGGTTAAGACTCACCACCATACCCCAGTGGCTAGTTCAGCAAGAGGCAAGTAGTACATTTCACCATCTTTAACTCGGTTTCCCTTGCTGGTTCTCATTCTTTTAGTGCTCAAGATGGGCAGCTTCTCGTGAAGTCATTGGTTTCCTCTTGTGTCGAATTAGTTGTTATGAAATGGAACAACCACTTAGAATGAGAAAACTTATCATTAGAAACACAACATGTCTCACTGACAAGTGTAACAGGTCGAGTTTCTCTACCTAGGGCAGAAAATTTGGTGGGGAGGGAGGAAACCAGTTTCCCGTTGGAATAACTCTCGACCAGAAAACCAAGTATCTCCTTCCGCTGTTGAGCTCGCCCTACGTTCATAAAATGGCTGTCTTGTCTTCATATTTATCGCGGCCTGGAAGTTAGGGCTATCGGCTAGCAAAGCTTGTAAAGCAGCCTTGATATGGACCTTCATTCCCTGAGGCCGTGTTGACAAGCCGTAAATATCCGATGTCTCCGCGCGAGCACAACGCTAGTGCAGCTAATATAGAGAAGTTTTCATAAAGAGAGAGAGAGAAAAAAAACTTCTTTGTTTCAGCAAGCCCAATATAATTTTAATGGCCAACATTTTTAATGAGTATTATGAAAGTTTTGAGTTTTCTTACTGTGAGTCGTTATGTCACTAAAAAAAAAGGTGAAATACTGCAGCACGATTTTTAAGTATAAACAATTCATTTTTACCTACACATAAAGAGCCAACCATACAGGAAGTTCTAATGAATAAAATGAAGCAAAAGTTTCAAGCCTCCATTCGTCAGCTCTCTCTGAAGTTGCAAATGACTATATAAGGACGTAATTGTAACCAGGATGAAGGGTTATTAACTTACGTTGTTTTATAATTAAAAAGTTTACTTCAATACCTCTTGAGTGGCATATCAGTTGATTTAATGCTTTAAATTCCAGTTATATGTTTTCCGATTCTCAAGTGCTGGAGTAGTTTGATTGTACTCATTGGTAGGAATGTCATATAAAACATAGAAAAATATCAAAACTTGGCATATGACGTAGTTTTGTATTTAAAACTGACAAGAAATCCTCAACAGATATAACAGAAAAAATAGTTATATATGTGTATATATGTATATATATATATATATATAATATTGATCGTAGAATATTAATAATCATAAATAAATTGCTAAGGAAAATACTGGTATTTATAACAATCACAAAATCTGATGTAATCTACAAAATGTAGAAGTTTATACTAATACAGATCCATAGTAATCTACAGAATTTGTTTTGTTCACAAGATCATCGTGAGTTTATATATACATAAAGTGTTTTCATAACTTAACGTCACCGAATGACTTAGAATGTCACTTTATTGGTTATGGTTGTTGAACAGTGAATTTATTCCACAACATTTTAGAAGAAATTAAAAGTTTCTTAATTTGACATTCTTAACAGAAATAGAACTAACGTAATGACTTCAGCAAACCTCATGCCCAAGAGCTTTCAGTATCTAATAAAAAACAACTGGATAAACTAAATCTGGCTAATGTTGTCTTGCTTGATTACAAGGCGCAATTCTGTAAACTAAACGTTCGGTTTATAAGCAAACTTATTCATAGATTTATTTAACCACTGCTTTGAGTATATAAGATAAGCGTTCTAATAACCAAATTTCAAATACCAGGGATTGTTTCAGTTCTTATTCAATTTATAAATGCGACACACATTAAACGGGCAGGTCAGGTACTCTTAAGGCTCAAGCATAGTAATATCTAATATGAAACTCTCTATTATCAGCCGCCTATACGATTATAATTAGCATAATAACAGAATTAACTTTCTCAATTATAAAGCTGAAATTTCTGAGTTTTTAATCGTCATATTGAGGCTCGAACCTTGGACCTTCTGCTATGCAGCTCGGTATGCAAAGTGCTCGACCACACCAGGATCCATTCCTTTTAGGAGAAAATTTTGTTCACATATTAAATGTGTACAATGTTGTAGGTATGCAAATGTTACCGAAAATGTATCCTTAACGAAACAAGAAACTTCGGTTAATTTATCTTGGTGATATTTAAACAAATATATATGACATAGATAAATTCAAATTAGGTTACGTATATGATCCAGTGATTAACACTATAGCTGAAACAGTATGACAACCTAAATAACATTGTAAAATGATGTTCTGGTTTTAAAAAATCTGGCTATAGATTTTATTTTATGCTTTTAGTCAGGATTTTGGAAACAGATGACAATGTGCCAATACTCAGCGAGATATCTTTACGAGTTCCTGAAGTGAATCTAGTGCACAACTCTGTAAAGTACTAAGTTATGTTGCACGAAATGGTTGTTGGGTTTATTGAAGTAGATCTTGCCTCCTCAACTGCTCGATAATTACAAGCTTAAAAGTCTTTTGAATATCTAAAATTGATAAAGTGTCAATAAAAAAAGTAATGACTTAGATATCTCTCTATGTATACATAAGATGTTTTGTTTGTTTTAGATTCACGAACAAAGTTTCTTTGTATTAAACCTGGTATTCTGATATCGTAAACGATCATTTTAATATAACCATAACAGAAAGCATTTGAAATCTAACAGTTACAGTCTAACGAATAAATATGAACATGCAACATTTAAATTTAAATCTGACGTCTATAGTGTAGAAAGCAAAAGTAACTACATCCCACACGAGAAACTACAAAAGTGTGACATTCTAACAAACTGATGTCAAAGTAAACTAACGTAACACCAGACATTTTTAATTTGACAAAGGTAATCCAACGTGCTCATATCAATATATCTAACACATTCAGTTGTCAATGAATATATAACTGTTACCCTGACAGATTCAAGTTCATTCAAAGTCTAAATTGTACAGTTTGAAATCTGATTTGTACATTCAAGTTAACAAAGCTATTATTAATATAACCTATCGTGAGCTTCCAAAACGTGAGAATTAGTGTTAGGCTAAAAGAATACACATGTTTATATTAACAGTATATATATAACATATTTAATTTAGGAAAACAGAATAAATAATTGTTTACTCTGTTCTTGCACAAACGCTTCTCTTGCACCTCAGTATTTTAGCGTAAAATGAAATCTTTTTTAATAATGAAAACGGTAGTGTTTTTCACATTGAAGATTTAGTTCAAGAACTGAGCCCACTGACTTTAAAGACCCTTGTAAAAAAGAAGAATAAAATCCAATCAACTGAAAATAAAGTTCTTGACGGTACACCGATCCGAAAGTGTAGACGAGGCCTCCCTCTATATGAAGTCGCTGTTGCCTTAGTATCGTGTGTTCTGTTTTCGAGTGGCCGCCTGCCTCACAGCCTAGAAACAATGACCGGTTGTTAGCTATCTCGCAGTAAGAAGGAACGTTTCAAATACCGACATTCATGTTATTGTTTATGTTCTCTGCTGCTGTTACATGTTTCTCTATATACAGGGTACATGTACTTTTCCTTGTGGTATAAAATCAACAGTTATTTTCCTTAAGCTGGACAAACCCGGGATTGTGGTAGAATTGACATTTTGTTCTGTACCGGCTACAACGGTAGAACGATTAGAAGAATGTAAGCTAGATAGACGATTTTTCTATGAAAAAAAAAAAGTCGTTATCTAATTTCACCTCATTTTAATTTTAGTTTATGTAAGAAGAAAAAACAGCTTCTGGCTATATAAAATAAATTCAGTTGCTGTAGCTTAGACAACCATTCCTAGGTTATAGAATATGTAAATACTGTGATTTAGTCAATACGTCTTGGTGTTGTAAGCGAAGTCGTGTAGTCCGTCATTGCATGTTAAGTAGTATTTTGTTTAACTATTGTATATAATTCAACACAAAGAGCAATGAATATTTCCACAAGTAACCAATGTAACAGAGCGTAGCTATTAGTAGTTATACCATTAGTTAGTGTTAAGAAGAATTTACTATAATGGTGAATCTTATATATAAAAAACGTTGAACAAAATTATTATCGTTCATAGTTGTTATTTTTTTATATTATTTCTAGGATAGAAATGTTTTAATGTTTTAAAATTTTTTATTTGCTTTTTCTGCTGGTTTGGACAGCGTTGCCAATTCAGTGCTAGAAACAGATTCGTTAGAGCAAATCAAAATAAACTTAATTTGTTTTACTCGAATATTTTATCACAGGTGTAGCAATTGTTTCTATTTAAGGAGTGATGCATATTACATGTTGATAGAAAATCAAATTAACGTTATGTGTATTTATAAACATTATAATAAGTCACATATTCATACACATGTGTATTAAATATGAATTAATTCATATGATGGTTATTTGTATCTGTGAATAGTATAATAAGTCCCACAGATTCATATATGTGTACATCACATAAGTATTAAGTCATATGATGGTTTTTATATTTACAAACTGTATAATAAGTCACACACAGTCAAATATACGTATGTCACATAATTATTAAGTCATATGATGGTTTTTATATTTATAAACTGTATAATAAGTCACACACAGTCACATACATGTATGTCACATAATAAATATATATAACCCTCATATGACTTCATCAATATGTGACATACATGTATGTGACTGTGTGTGTGTGACTTATTTATACAGTTTATAAATATAAAAACCATAATATCACTTAATAAAAACAGTATAATAATTCACACACGTTCATACATATGTACATGCTACTTTGTACACCTTTCACACCTTGCCACTTAAGTTCTCAACCTTACATTATTTGCGGATTTTACATTATTACATTACTACATTATTTTACTAACAATAAATCAACGTTCAATAAATAATTTGAAAATCATTTTACAAAATAAACGCCTAACTTGTTAAGATAATTAAACAATCAGTTTCTAGTACTATGCCATAAAAGAATGAAATACTTCAAATTCGAAATATGAAAAGGTTATGTTTATGGAAATTAGGAACGGTTAAAATTCGGCCAAACCATTATCGTACTCTCCAGGTGCTATAAACCCTTTCGTAGTTCCAATCAAACGAAAAACACTATTAAATATGAAAGGGATTTGGAGCAAATGACTGTGCCTAATATCAGCTTTAGATCTTATTCGGTCATATTAATCACAAATATTTCATAAAAATATTCCCAATAATATGATATC